GACACTTCTCCGGGAAAGTCAGACCTCGCGTTTGCAGGACAGCACTGGCAAAATCTTCCAACTGAACCATAGCTAAGATTTATCCAAAAAAGTCGCTAGGTTTGTCAGTATGAATATTCTATGGAAAAAAGCCACTAAAAGGGTCTGAAAGTTGCTAAATCTAGTGCTAAAGTCGAGCTTGTGTGTGTGAGACGCGGGAACTGATGGCAGGGGGCGGTGGATATTTGTGGCGGTCAATGTGGATATTGTGGATGAGTTCTTCTGTGTCAGCACGTTCTATTAGTTCTACAGCTTCAGTTTCTGAACTTTCACGCTTAGTAACTCATACAGCTGTTCCCTCACCACAGTGCAACAGTGAAAAGGGACCCCTTTCAAACAGTGTCACATTCCGAACGTTGTTTAAGCGACATACACCGGTATTGCGGTATTTTAAAAAGTCATATCATAAAAATAAACATTCAACATATTCGGTATGAACCGGTATACCGCCCAGCACTAGTACAAAGACATTTGACTACAAACTCTACAACCTGAAGCTGCCTAGACTGGCGGACTGATATGTGAGTAATGGGTATTTCATAATTTACGTTCAGTGGAATTGAGTTAATGAATACAGCAGCACTGGAACTGTTATCACAGCCTTAATCACTCACTCCTTCAACCAAACCTGCAAAGATAACAAAAAGAAATTACATCATAAAAATGCAATGCTAGGCCTATATCTTGCAAAAAAAAGTTTCATTATGATATTATGTTACAATACTAAATCAATTCTATGTCTGGTGATTACAAATATAGAGTTGCATACAGTGGTGAATTTTAAATAAATAATTTGCAACTTAAAAATACATTGATTAGTGCAGGGGTCAGAGTAAAAAAAAAAAAGAGACATATCGAAGATGTTCCAGAATAAACAACAGAGAGACAGTATAACATGATGTAAGAGGAAATGAATTTACTTGATCAGAACAAAAGTTTAGAAGGAGTAAACACTGACGACCCGGATGCAATAAGAAACAAATTATCCTTCAGAGACATGCTAATAACCAGAACAGCACTGTGAATGCTGTTGTGTATTGTATGCTACGACATGAACTCACTCTGTGGAGGGTTCACGTCCGTGGCCTGCAGTGAGTTGCAGGAGCCGTTCTGTTTGGGTCTAGCACCAAGCTCCCTGTTCTCTTTCAATGAATTGGTGTTTAGATTCAGACTCTGAGTTTGACTTTGTGTTTTTGTTTCATCTGTCTTAAGGGTGAAGTAACCACCTTCTTCAGCTACGATCTTCTCAACCTTCTCCATCAGCTGGGGCAGTTGTGGGTGTTCACCAAAAATATAGTTATTGATGACGTGGTACCTCTTCTTACACTTGTCCACCACCCACTGAAGGTCACGACCTTCCCTTCGTATATGTCTTTCTATGGACCTGTCCTTCAAAACCTCCGCCCAGCTGAAAACCAGCATGGTGTGCTTCCACACATCCTCCCCAAAAAGTGCTACATTCTCCTCTATACGAGCCCGGTCTGTTTCGGTGAACATGCCAACAGGTATGACCAGCAGGAATGCATGGGGTCCAGGTGGGCACAAAGTTACGCTTCGGACCATTTCCTGCTGGTAGTCCGCCGGTGTGGTCTGGGATGAGAACCAGCCAGGAGTGTCTACTACTGTTACTTTGCGCTGATCCACCTTGGTTTCACGCTTCCCACAGAATTCGGAGGCACGTTCCAGACGAAACTCTTCACGGCCCAAAATGGTGTTGCCGGTCATGCTTTTACCTGGCCATCGCCAACCCAGCAAGATCAGCCGGAGTTCTGGGAGGCGGTTAGCTTCACGGGCAGCTGCTGCCAAACGTTTCTGTTCCTCAGGGTCGAGTTGGTCATCAGCTGTAAAGTACCAAAACATTATTATTTGGGAGGGGCTGGAAGAGAGTAAACTGACAGTCTGGCAAATTATAAAAAAATGTTCTCTCAAAAATACAGTAAAACAATAATATTGTGAAATATTAATTTAAAACAAATGATTTCTATTTTAATTTATTTTCAAACGCAATTTATTCCTCTGATAGCAAGGCTGATTTTTGCAGCCATTACTCCAGTCTTCAGTGTCACATGATCCTCTAGAAACCATTCTAGTATGAGTTAGTGCTCAAGAATCATTGCTTAACCATGGTAACTTTTTCTTTAATTAATAGAAAGTTCACAAGAACAGCATTTACTGAAAATAGGAATCTTGTGTAACTTTATAAATGTATTTACTATCATTTTGATCAATTTGATCAATCATCCCTGCTGAGTAAAAGTTTTATCCAAAAAAAACAACAACAAAAAACGTACAGACACCAAACTTTTGAACAGTAGCGATTGTTTACATTGTATTCTACTTAACATTTTTATCATTATAATAATATATATACTGTATATATATATTTTTTAACTTTTGAATATACTAATAATTGACAATAAGCCTTTATTCCATTATTGAGTCATGTTACGCAAGCTTTACTCAGAAATGACTTTCTCAATGATGTAAACTCCGAAAGCACAGTGCCTAAATCTGAAATGTGATCTGACATCTAGTTTTTCCTTTTAAGGCTTAAGCAAGGAAGAACTAGATCTTTTTTAACATTCAGCTAACCTGCCAAGCAACACTAATACTAAAGTAGTACACGTATTCCTAGAAAAACTCCTCACTGAGAGCCTTGAAATAGGCTTTCACCCTAAAGCCCACTAGAAGGAGCGACGATGGAATAAATGGTGTTCATATGAACACCAAGTCACTGTAAACGACTCTTTAATATATCGATTAATACTAAAAGCTTTATGGATGTGTGTTTTATCACGTGAGAGTGTGTTGTGCCATAAGTCCACCTGTGAACGTCATACCTGAGAGCAGCGGAAAGCGGCGAGACGTGTCGCTTTCACCCGACACACACTCGCCGGCCACAGTAGTGCGCACGATGCCAAATTTAAGTACAACTGCCGCGTTATAAATCATTATTGAACAGTATACTTTAAAGCAGCTTACCGGTTGAATCTGATGGTCTGTTTGAGCTCATGACGATGCCTTTTTGTAACTTCAGACGTGTCAATAATCCGGGAGAAAAGAGTGATTTCCTGCTTGCTTCTTGAAGGGCGGGCGGGAGAGAGAGAGAGAGAGAGAGCGAGAGAGAGAGAGAGAGAGAGAGAGGGAGAGAGAGAGAGAGAGGGAGAGGGGTGTGTGCGACTCTTTTTTTTTTTCTA